AACGTAACGTAACGTAAACGTAACGTAACGTAACGAAGTAACGAACGTAACGACGAAGACGAAGACGAGAGAGAGAAGAGAGAGGAGAGGAGAGGAGAGAGAGAGAGAGAGGCAGCAACATATGTTACTGCTTCTCTTCTGAACCAGGTTGCTGCTCTATATCATGTGATTCTTCTGTCTCCATTTCTGCAAGCAATTTCTTCTCCTCTCCATCACCGGCCTTCTCAGTCGGCAACTTACAGGGCGAAGAAGGCTTACTAGTGGACTGTTGATAGAGAACTCCTCCAAACATGCAAATCAAGAGCCCAAAAGTCCCAATAAATGTTGAGTGCTTATCCCAAATCATCAAGTTTATTACAACAGTGAGCAGCTTATTCACAATGCCCAAAACAGTAAAACCAGTAGCTGATATAGCCCTTCTGCAAGAGAACCCAAAGAAAGAGATGGAAAGCCCAAAGAGACAAGACAAACCCACTGGTGTAACCACACCAGGTGAGTACCAGTGCAAGTCCTCTGAGATATCATGCTTCATCTTCTGCAACTCCCCCATGATCAAGAACTCGAGGGGAAAGAGAAGTAAGGCCTCGAGATTATTGTAAAGAACCAGGCCCCATGTGTTCAACCCTATGGTCATGATCACATGCTTTATGTACACAAAATCTATAGACATGCTCACCAGGTAGGCCAAGGCCCAACTGTAGGCGGTCACTGTGAATTGATAATCAGTCGTGATGTAGATAATGCTGCCTCCGAAGATCGTCGAGAGAGAAAGCCAGGTTTTCAGAGAAGGCCATGGCTGCTTCAGGAAGAGGGTCTCTCCTATGGCGACGAATATGGGTACGGCCGACCTGAAAACAATGAAAGTATCGACATTCGCATGGAGGAGAAGCTCACTGTTTGTGAAGAGAGAAATATAGAACATCACAGCAGCTGGCAAGAAGCTCCACATTTTTCGAAGATCGAGGGGATCGTGCTCCAGGAGCTTGAGCTGCCCACAAACAACGACGCCGGCAGTGCTCGTGAAATACTGCAATGCCGTCAGGGCTCCAGGGTAGGGGAATTTGATGACTGCCCATTTGTTGATTATAGACAACAAAGATGCAGAGATGCAGTATCCAGCTGCAACTCCATAGACTGAAGCAACTTGTAACAAATGAGTGAAAGTTTGGGAAAAGAAAGGCTGGGCCTCTTCAGCTGATTTATCAGTGGCTTTGCATATCTCAGCATTGGTGTTTGCTGTATCACTTGTCATCTGGAAGGATTTCAAGCACTAAGCTAAATGAATCAAATGTCCATAAATTTCATGCTTTCATTGTTTAAGGCCCATTTCAGGGTTCTGAACGAAAATAAAGAGAAAAGGTCTCCATCTCTGAAACACCAAGTAGACTTAAGAACAAAGGGAAAGTTATTGAATAGCAACAATAAACCATTATTTCATCTGGGAGTTTATGCCGGATCTAGGCGCGAAGGCCAATCCCTCTTTTACTTTTTGAAAACTAGCCGTACAACCTTCTGCGAAAAAGTATCACACTCCTACAGGAGCATACTGTAGGAAATTTAGGATCTCAAAATTTGAAGATGTAATCTCTTCGACGCTTTGTTATAAGGAACACTATCTATGCACATGAAAAAATAATGTCTCAAGATTGAATAGAAAAGTTTAATAGGAAAAAGATCCTCAACGATATCATATTGTGGCACCCACCCTCCTGAGCACCTAGGTCTTGAGCCCGCTAGTGAAATCTAAGTCTCAAAAAACTTAGAATTTGAATTTTCTAATTTAAAAACAACCATCATAATCCAAAGGTGTTTCTCAAAATTTTAGATTCAAAAAAAAAAATTCTGAGTAGGTCTTTTGTCTTAGAGATAGATGGTGTGCACCTGTAGGAGCATAGTATATGAGCGAGGAAGAACCATGGACTAGATTCTGTTTTGTGAGAGAGAAACTAACAGCTAAACCAATGTTTGGAAACCCGGGCAGGCCTACCAAATTGATACCTCATGAACCAAACCGGCTTGGGCGATATTCTAATAAAATTTAGTGTAGAATTTAGAAAGCTAAAGAAATAAAAGATAAAATTCTGAATACAACCATTTTCACACCACAGTTTAGGAGCCAGTTTGCGTGAGAGAGGTTAAGTGAGAGAGAGGCAATCCTATCAGTGATTGTTTAGTTTTGTATAAAAAGATCACGATTACTCTTAGATATTGGATGAGAAATTGAGGGGCAAAGAATTTGTCTCATAGTTCCGAATATATATTTCAAACTTCGAGAGAGACCAACGGCACAATGCCCACTATCTTATTTTAAATCAAACAGATAAAGATGATTGAGACTTTGTATAAAATAAATAAATGCTCTTTTTCTATACTTTTTTTGCTATTTTTAGTTGGCATTAAGGTTCATCGTCGGTAAATAATTGAGCAGTTACAAATGTGTTCAAACGTTCAAACAATACTTCTTTAATCTTTAATGCAGTCAATACCACACCCCTAATTATCTGATTTCACACCTAATTACTATGCGAACGACCTTCTTGTATTGAGAGTTAACAATCTTATTTCTTATTTTATATGTTCCCATGGTATATTGATGAGAAAGAGATAGAGATCGTAACGACATAGAGATCTCTTTGGTCTCAATTCAATTTTTTGGTTTTTATATTTTTCATCTGTGCACACCCCAAATAATTGGAAAAAGATTATGATGGTGGTGTTTTTCGTCAGTACATAAATAAATGCCCCACACACAAATGAGTAGGGGTGGCAATGGACCCGGATCTGACCTGAGACCCTATGGGTATATATACCCAAACAGGTTCCAGTGTGGGTCTAAAATTTAGACCCGATGGGTCGGGTCGAGACCCATTATAAATTTTCAGGTCCTAATTTCTGAAATGTATTTAAATATAGTTAAATACATGGATATTTTAATTTCTAGGATGGATCCGGTCAGGTTTGAGTCCCAAACTAGATTTTTTAATCCAGGTCTGGGTATGTTGAATTTGGATCCAATTGAGTTTGGGTTTGGGTCTGATCCCATAATATCTTTTCCGGTCTAGGTCCACCCCTATATAAGATATAGAGAGAGAGACGGAGATTGCAATGGTTTCACAGTGCTTATTGTTAGTTTAAACATGCGTAGAAGCCACTAAAAGTATTAAAAGATTCGGGGTTAACTATACCAATTAAAATTTGCTTACTTCCATGGTTAGATTTCCAAGGTCAATGCGATATTTAATAGATAGATTAAAAATTCGATGCCTTCTCTTTTACGGTTTATATTTTGATGTTCAATGCTTTTTAGTAACTAATTCTAAAAAAAGAAAAGGTTTCTTTGTCAATGTTGAAGCAACGAGAAATGCACATGGGAAGGGGTCAAATTTACTCCCTCGCGTCCATCTTTTCCACTCTTACGCTATGAGAATGGACCGTGAGACAAATATTAGCGATTTAGCGGCACATGTTATGTACAGTAACTATCATTTCTACCAGAATTTCAATGATCAATGGTGGAGATCAACTGTCCTCTTCGTAAGTGCAAAATTGTTAAGGATGAGGTTTTGATATGATCGACTAAATGAAACATGTCAAAAGGCAATACCTCAAAGTCCTACATGTTTGGACCCCTAAAAATATTGTACACAATGAACTATTTCATGTGAAAAAACATATGATAAGGTTGAATGGGAGATTCTGCAGCTAACCATGAAAGCAATGGGTTTTTGTGTTGGGTTTATGTCGCCTTTAAAGGCTTTATGAGTGCTTGTACAATGAAATAATATAGTGGAACATGAACTCAGTGGGAGTGTGGTCCCTCATGGACCATACTAAGCAAACGATGTTTGCTTATACCGAACTGTGCTTCACGATCTAGGTCAGTCGGCTGGGAAAACCCATGTTACCTGGGCATAGAGAACAAAACGAGAAAGGTTCTAATAGGTCATCTTTTGATGAGGTCGGAGCATATGCCCGGATGAGTGAGCCGAGGGACTATGTGACCCTTGTGTGTGATAATAACCTACAGAGACGGGGGCCAAAGCCTCATCCATATGGCATCACGCGGCATGCATATTGATAGATCGTTCGGGAAAGCAAGTAAGCGGTCTTTTAGGGTGAAGCATATATATGTGCAAGAGATGCCCCTATGCACCATAGGACCTGTGGTCGCATCAGGTCTAGGTGACCTTGACTTGTCTCTAGGGGAAGACCTGAAATCCACAGATTGAAATTGCAACCCCTTGGCTCATCGGCTAGACTTTAGTGACCCACTAAAGAGCCCCTGTGTAACAACTTTAATTTTTAAAACTGAAAAAAAAAAAAAAAAAAAAAACTCTTTGTAGTGTGATGGTCCATATAGGCATTATGGTCCTTAGGGACCATCACTACTCTTATTCCCTTTTAGCCTTCAAGGAAATTGCCACGGACGTGGGTTATAAACATTACACATTTAATATTAGTACTACACCTCATGTATGCGGTGGAGTTTAATAAAGTAACATAATAATAAGTTTTAAGAAGTTAAATAGAAATAGGGTAAGGACTCTCGCCCTACAGGACTTCCTTTCTCGCTCTCCCTCTTACAAACGCGGTGAACTCCTCTCTCTAGCCAAATTTTATCGAAAGTTCCCTCTCAAATATTATAGGTAAGTGACTTCATTGTCTTGAAGAATAATCCGTTTTTTTTTATATAAAATGAAATGATTATTTCTGTCTATTATCATGAATTTTAGACATAGTAAATTTTATGCGTAAGGGACGTCATTTTCTTGAAAAATAATCGTTTTAGTAAAATTATGATATTTTATCTATTATTAGGAATTTTAAATGCTGTAAATTCTTAAAAATAAATTTATTTTTCTTGTCAATGGTTCACAATTTTTTATACTATAAATTATTAGAAATAAATGTGATATTTCCGCTTTCAGTAAAATTGTGAGATTTCCTCCTACTGTTTTGAATATTTAGACATTGTAAAATTCATATGCAAAAGATAGCAGCATTATATGAAAAACTGATATTTCTGCACTTGATTATAGTTTGATTGTAGTATTGCCTATGAAATGATTATTTACGAATTGGCAACTCCATAAATTGTGATAATTTCATATTTAATTTTGGATTCTCATAAAAGTTCGTCTATTAATACTAGATGGTTGTCATGTTAGATTTCAAGAATGTCTTTCAAAACTGTTGCCTTTCAGAAATTATTGCACAAAATGTTTAAATGGCTACTTAGAGATATTTCAATGAAAGTGATTGTTATTAACTTGCTTCAAATGAATTCATGCTAATGTTTTCAATGATACTTCGCATATATGATATTGTTGTTTTATGATGTTTAAAGATTTTCAGAGATAATTTGAATATAAGTGGACCTGCAGTGATCGTTAGGACCTATCCGGTTATGTCGGTAGGGACTATTTGGACTCATACGGAACGCCGATGAGGTATGATCCGACCTGCAGGGATTGTTAGGACCTATCCGGTTACGTCGGCAGAGACTATTTGGACTCATCCGGGACGTTGGTGAGGTATGTTTGGATCTGCAAGGATTGTTTAGACCTATCCGGTAAGGGCTATTTGGACTCATCCGGTATACGGGTGAGGTATGTTTGGACCTGCAGGGACTGTTGGGACCCATCAGGACGCTGGTGGGATATATAGGTGACCTACTTGGGACGCCAGTAGGGTATTTTGTGAAATCATTTGAATTATGCATTTATGTTAAAATGTTTATATGTATTTCCATCATTAAAATGTTTATATGCATTTCCATCATTTGGATTATGTTTAACTGTGGATTTGTGAAAGTGCAATTGTTATCTATAAATGCTTTTGATCGAAATTCCTCCTCAGGTTGTTTTTTTTTTTAACATACATTCTTAAGAAAATATTTATATCTTCCAACTATGATTATTTTTAGGACCATGATGATCACTTACTGAGTAGCCAAACTCACCAAACTATGGTAAATATTTTTCACGGTAATTGCAGTCTCATAGTTAAATGCACATTAGGTCCAGCTTGTGAAGAAGATGCAGTCATGTCATAACTAAATTCTCCTTTGTAACTTTTCTTTAACTTTACCACTGTAAGTTTTTGTTCTACCAACATATGTATACTTAGACTTCATGTTAATACCAGTTGTGAGCAAACTTTGTACAAATTTTAATTAATAAAAAAATTTGTTTTGTTATAATATATATTAATAGGAATTTAAAATTTTCCTAGTATAAGAATAGTCTGTCGCACCTCGAGAATGATAGAAATCTTGGGGTGTGAAAATTATGGTATCACAGCAATAGGTTTAAGATTCTTAGGAAATTTGAAAAGAATGTACTTT